TGGATCTTGGCTCCCGCCATCAAAACATCTTTTTTGGTGCCATCTTACTTGTTTAACCAAAGATGATTTCTTTCTTCTTCTTAGGTCCTCCAATGTGTATTTCCTCTCTGTGGAAGTATCTTCTTTTCATTTTAGAATTCTTCCTGGTTATACTTTGGAACAATTCCTGAAAACCTTAGAATCTTTTTCTTTGGGTCCTGTGACAGCTCCTCTGACCTTAAGGGTCTGTGGAAGGAGAGAGCTCATTATTTCTTACTATATCTATTACTAAAAGTATGGGACAAATGTACTTCTTATCTGACAGATGGGAAACCATGGTTTCTCCAGAGAATATACAGTTAGTTAGTACTGTTTAGGAATTAGAATGAGTTTTCCCTTGTTCCTAGTCCTGACATGAGCCATAAAAAAACCATACCTATTCATATTTTCTTTAACACTTTGGCTGCCAAGCATTTTATAGAAAAATCCCACTGTTTGCATAATTGTGAGGTCCCCAGCCTGCGTATATTCATTCTAAATCCCTCTTAGTTTCCCTTTTTATTGTAATATATATTGTTTCTACCTCTGAATTTCTAAAATAATTCATATTTTTAAAAAATTTTAAAATTTGTTTTACTTAGTTGTGCATGAAAGTAGAGTGCATTTATGCACTTTGATATATCAGACATAAATAGGGTATAATTTCTCATTTTTATATTTGTACATGTTGTTGAATCACATCAGTTATGCAGTCATATATGTATATAAGGTATTAATACCTGTTTGATTCTACTATTTTTCCTATCTCCATATCCTCTCCTCTTCCTTCATTCCCCTCTACCTAATCTAAAGCAACTCTATTCTTCCCTAGATCCCCTAACCCCCTTATTGTGAATCAGCATCCACATATCAGAGAAAACATTTAGCCTTTGGTTTTGGGGGATTTGCTTATTTTGTTTAGCATGATATTTTCAATTGCACCCATTTACCAGCAAATGCCATTATTTCATTCTTCTTTAAGGCTGAATAATGTTCCATTGGATATATATATATACCACATTTTCTTTATCTATCCATTTATCTATTGAAAGACACCTAGGTTGGATTCATAGTTTAACTATTGTGAATTTAGCTGCTATAAACATTGATGTGGTCACACCACTGAAGTATGCTGATTTTAAGTACTTTGAGTATAAACCAAGGAATGGGATAACTAGGTCAAATGGAGGTTCCATTCTGGGTTTTATGAGGAATCTCCATACTGCTTTCCATAGTGGTGTCACCAATTTGCAGTTCCACCAGCAATGAATGAGTGTACCTTTATTTTTAATTTTTTTTTTGGATTGCTTTCAAGCCATTTCATGTCCTTTGGGTGACACTAAAGTAAAGAGAAAGACAAGAAAAGGCACAGAGGGAAAGAAAAGGAAGGAAAAGAAATGAGAGTTAGAAAATAGGGTTTACATTAAAATTTTATTTTAAAAGAAAAATTACTGTTTTCTGGATGAGATCTTGCTGTAGCCTAACACTGATCTGGAGCAGTCTATCTCTTCTTCTTCTCTCTCTCTTCTCTCCCCTCCTCTCTCTTTTCCTTTTGTAACTATATCCTGACACTTGCCAGCAGATGAAGGCAGCCCCAAGGAGTTTATTCAACTTATCTCAGTGGGCGCTACTGACATCATTACCATTATGTTATCAGCTCTATTTTCTTTGATGGAAAAAGCATTACTCCTAGGCCCAGAGTCCAATGTATTGTCCACATGATTGTCTAGAGGATTCAAATGTTCAAGAGAGCCCTTGCATAGAGGAAGGAGGAAGGAAACTTGATATGGCAGGAACTCTCAGTTCTACTTTTTTGGATAACAGTCTATCATTCCTCATCTGTCCTCACACCCCAGTCCACATACATATACATCACGTCACCTAGTTCAAGATTTCTCTCTGTTTCTCCCCAGGAGCCAGCCTAGGATACTGTTCTTGTCACACATCTGTTGATTGGCAGGCAAATGAGATTTTCAGACTTGCATACAAAGCATGTTACTTTCTTGCCTGTATATTAACCCAGTCTTTAAAAAAATACATATATATATATATAATTTTCATAGTGCACTCTTCTGGTTTTATATATATATATATATATGTTCTGCTTATTCAATAGCCCAGCAAATGAAAGATAAATGGTTTTAATATGTGATGTTAACAAAGGGTTTAGCCATTTTCATTATGTCTATTCTAGGGTCAATTTTTTTTTTTGCTTAAGTTTGTTTTTGATGACACAAAATTCATCTGTAATAAATCTGTTTCTATAATTGCCTTTAGAGATTTAAAAAAGTAAGCAAAATGAAAAAAAGTAACACCCTTTGCAGTGGCATCCGTGCTAGCCACAGCTTATTGTCTGCAGAGGAACTTTAGAGGCCGGGTGGCCCATGAGGAATAGGAGGCCTAGAATATTTCCTCTTTGACCCTTGCCTGCCCAATTGATCTTATCTACAACTTTTCATCCTAGGAGCCCCATCCTCATATCTGTCCCAAGAGAATATTGTTGTTGCCTTAAGTCCATGTACAGATAGTGCCTTGAAGTGCTTTGACCTCCTGGTCTCCATAAGGTTGGGTAGAATCACCCTGCAGACATCCTACCCTGTGGGCACCAGCACCGACTCTGGGAACACTAGGGCAACCCAGGTTTCTGGAAACATTTCAAGTAAGGCCTGCAGATTTATAGGACTATTTGTTTCGAGGCATTGGTCGGAATTGCTAATGGTGCCAGAACTTGCAAAGAGGTTGGTCCTGAGAGGATGTCACCCAGCGCTGCTGATCGTGCTGGAAAAGAAAATGAATACAAATTCCCATACTACTGTCTCTCTTTGACTGTGTTTGTTGTTGTTCAGCAGGCAGACCTCCCCCCTGAGCAAGCCACAGATGTCCAAGGGGCTTCTCTGGGAGTGCCCAGGGTGCCTCTATTTCCTTGATTCAGCACAGAAGCTGTTTCTGATTTCTGGCCATAGTTCCTTACCATCTGTTCCAGGCTGCAGCTGCTGCTGTTTTATTTTGTTATAGGACTTATTACTATTGTTGATTCATCACTACATAATGTTTTATTTATACTCACAAGACCCAATACCATGTTGTTGTTCTTTTGAATAGAAGGCAGACTTTGGGGGGATCAGCAGATGTATGGAAACCTCCAGGTCCCCTGGAGAGAGAAGTTCACAGTTGGGAGAAGGGATCAGTGATCATTCTGCTTTACCTTCAGGGAGGGGTGTATGTGTGTGCATGGACAGAGTCCAACATCATTGAAATTCTCTTTAAAGATAAGTTACGTTGAGAACTTGAAGAAAGCTTAGAAAATACATACTAGTGAAGTTCATAATGCATTTAATACTGGTCATGTACATAGGCGGTGTTGTACTGTATGAAACATGAACTGCTTTTAAACCTTCTTTTGCCTGTGACTTTCTTTGGACCTGATAAGTCTGGAAATGATTGCTCCAGCAATCTTTCCATGAGGAGAAAAAGGTTTCTCTAGGACCACTGACTAGGAGGAGGCTCAAAAGAGCTTATCCTGTATTTCCTGGGACAATGTGAGAAAGTAAAGCATCCTGCTTTCCTCATTGCTCCACTTTCCCCAAACCTTGTCATGGTCTGTAGCTATTGAAGGCCCAGACAGCTGAACCCAAACTTCTTTTCCAATATTGTGAAATTAAAAAAAAAATAAAGAAAAGAAAAAGAAGGAGACTTGATAATATCTTCACATGAGCTAAAAGAAACAAGCAAATAATCAAAACCCTGCTGAGTCAACTAAATGTTTGGATTTTAGGCCAAAGATAATAGATTTGCTTCCCTCAAGATCTGGGGCGACTGGGGTGTAGTTCAGTAGAAGAGCACATGCTTAGTATGTGTGAAGCCCTAGATTTGACTAGTAGCAGCACACACACACACAACTAGATAAATATAAAATATAATAAATAAAAGAAAGAAAAAGAAATGAAACAAGATGTTGGGGAAGGAAGGGTATACTGCATAGATGGAGAATTTAGACAAACATAAATGAAGTAGATTTAATTGGGCAGATTGCAATGTACCCTTTGGGGTGATATCATCAAAAATTCCTTTTCATTGTCTAAGTCGAATGGACCCATTGGATAGACCTCCAGCAGGCTTGCGTATTAAACTCCTGGCAGTGCCTTGGGTACACTGGCTGATATAGCCAGCTGACTGAAGTACACCCAGAAAACAGAGGGGAAGCATTAAATCCACACAGGACGTGGACGTGACCCACTTGTATCTGGTACAGATCAAGACTGAACGTGCCTTATGGGTTTTGGGCTTGAGTAAAGGGTGCAGCTCTGTGAGGACATTGGAGAATGGGGAGACATGCTGCAGGAACTCTATGAGAATTTTCATGGCCACCACCCAAATCTAGGCTACTTCCCAGAAAATGTGTGCACTGGTCAATAGAGAAAGTGACCTGCCAAGTGAATGGCCTCACTCCTGGATTTTTGCTGGGTGTGCTATCATTAGCAGCATTTCCTGTCATCAGGTTTATTTACCTAATATATAAAAAATGACCCCCAGGATTTTTCCTGAAGGTTCTTATTGTAAACTAATTTCTCATCAAGCCTGCAGTGCATGGTCCCACCCCTCGGGGCCCCACCTGTGCTGTTTTGAGGGCAGCCTTTCCTCAGCATCTCTTTTCCGCCTCTTGGAGTTACAGGCAGATGTGGCCAGCAGAGAGAGGTTAAGGAGCTAGTGAGGCAGGACAGCTGGGGATCGTTAGCAACAATCAAGAAGCAGCATTAAAAGGCAGCAGGGGTGAGGTCTTGGTTCTTACTCTGGCCTGCCTGAGGAAGCCATCTGGACAGAGGAAATGTGCCTTAAACCTTGGCAAGAGAACTTTGTTCTGTTTGAACTTTGTTTAAAGCCCCAGAGTGGGTGATCATTTTGTTTAAACTTTCCTTAAAACAAAGAATGGGAGATCCCCCGCAATTAACAACAGGAACCTTTTCCCCTCTTAACAGGCCTGATAGGAAAAAAACGCAAGGACTGTTCTGACATCCATTAATGTGGCTCAGTTAGCAGGATGGAAAGAAAGATGCAGACGAATAGGAATTACCAGCCTCAGGAGAGCTAAGGTAATGTAATCAAGGAATAATCAGATTATGTGTCATCTTTATTTGGACCTTCTCTGCTTCGGGGACTACCCATGGATTGCTGAGGCCTTCAGCTCATGGCTTCCTTAACAGCAGTGGTTTGACTTTGAGCATAATCCCCTGCGCTTACCATTCACCTTTGCTCATTGATGCACATCATGCTCACAAATAATAGGATCTGCCCCTCTGTCCCAAGATGATTCAGCAGGAAAGTGCATCCTCTCAGCTCTGAGACAGAGCTGTGAATTCAGCTGCTTTTCTTTTAACATGCTTTATTCAAATATTGTTCAGATAGTGGACTTCAGCCTAATTCACAGACGGATATTAATGAAGTTGAAGTTTTCTCTTTAAACCCAAAGATTACTATTACCTCATTATCTGCATTAATGTTCTCTATAATACACATATTTCTATAGGGAAGATATTGCCCCCTCAGGAAAGTTCCCTGAGAAAAATCCTAGCACCTGGCTGGTACAGGCCAGTGGCAAAAGCCTGTGAACCCACCTTGCACAAAATCAACCGCCTTTGGGATTTGGCAAGTTCTTTCCCATTCGGAGCCCTGTCACTGTCAAATGTCTGAGTTGCATTAAGCGTGGTGCTTCCCTGGTCTCATACTCCATTGTTTTCTGGTTGTAAGTGGAAGCTGAAGCCCACCCAGCCTGGTCCCTTGGGCAGTTGAACAGCAAGCAGTGATTATCGCTGCCCTCCTGGCATATGTCCACTCTCTGCCTAGAATGTTTTGTCCCTGCCTCTCCTGCCACCCTGCAGTCCTACCCTTCTGCTTGGGTTATTTCTGTTCTGGATTAGCTGTCGGGCCTCTGCTTAGCATCTCTTTAGCCAGGGCTCTGCATTTCCTCTGTGTTGCCATTGCTTGTTTCATTCCTCGCCTCTTTGATTAGACCATAAACCCATGGGGCAGAGTGTTCATCATGTCTACGGATGGGTCCTCTGTGCCTAGCCTAGTAGCTAGCTACCACCTGGTTGTAGATAGGATCCTATAACTATTTTTTTTTTGAAGAACAAACTGAGAAATAAATACATGAATAAAAGAATGACTGAACTATTTTCTCATTCATAAGCATTCCTAAGAGATGAGTTTAGGAAATCCCAATGGAACAGATTGCTGCCTCCCTAAAGGCCTGATATAGCTACTAAGCTTGCACAGAAGGGACATTTTTAAAAAGCCACCTGATTGCTTCTTCACATGTTAAACGCAGAAAAAGGGGGTTGTTTTTATACAGGTCAGAGCCGCATGTTCCTCAGCACAGCCTTGGTGATTATAAACCAGGAGTACATTTTCTCTGCCAGCACAAGATGGGCTGTAGGTAGGCAGGGTTTCCTGGAAGCCATAGATGCCCTGTAGGTGGAAGACCTTCATGCTTGTGGCCATGCTTCCTGGCCTGGTGACCCTTCTCTATCTGGAGAGAAGTTTGAATTTTCTCATGTCCTGCTCATCAATACATCCCACACATTAGGAACCAGGTGAGTAGATATTGTTTGAGTGGTGCAGATATCAGAATACTTGATAATGATAAATAGAATTGGGGGTTCCTGTTTGTCTTGTCACTATTCCTTGTTCTTATCCCTAAATCTGATCCATTTTATCCTTTAATCCTACCTTAGTGCCCAGATTTATAATTAGGTAGACCTCTATCTAATTATAATCTGCATCAATTAAATATTTAAGTAACTAGTACTTGTTGCTTAAGAAATATATAAAATCTATACTTCTATATCTGTTATTTCATCTCAATGAAACTAAGACTTAATTTCAAATGTTAATATTTTTTCAGTGTTAAGAGCAGGCAGACATAACTTATCAACTACAAAATAAGACAACTGTGAACATGTGCATATGCTACAAATTGGAAACACACACTTATTTGTAAAATGTTCATATGTACTGCTCAATAATTTGGCATCTGGCAGCAGAAAACCTAGACACAGCCTAAATGTCCAACTTCAAGAGAATGAGTAGGTAAAATCACAGTGAAGCCTTATAATAAAAATGAGTGAAGCTATAGAAAAGATCTTTACAGAAGATTCTTAATGTTCATCAGTGCTGAAGACATAAAGTGTAAAGAGCAATGTGTGTGTGCACAGCAGGGTTGTAACTATTCTAGCCCAACCTGAACACACGTAGGAAAACACATTAAAATGTTAACAGTGATTATCTGCGTGGTGGGATCTTGCGTTTTTAGTCCACTTGTGATGTTCTTCAAAATTTCTGCAAAGGTCCAGCATTACCTCTTAAGTGATTACTCTTATTGTTAAGAAATACACAATTACAAAACATCAGAGCAGATGTTGTGTCATTAGACTCTTTACTAGGTCACCATCACTCTTTGTCAAAAGAACAAATCATGACTTTGTTTTCAAATCTGCCATGAGCACTAAAAATTACGAAGAGGGCTTTGTAAGCATACACTTTGCAAATTCACTTGTCAAAGAAGAGGTGTTACTATCATATAATTCTGGCTAGAAATTTTTGAATGAATTATGTTCTCTGAGCAAGATTTCTTTTTTTTTTTTTATTGGTTGTTCAAAACATTACAGAGCTCAAGACATATCATCTTTCATACATTCGACTCAATTGGGTTTTGAACTCCC